ATGTGCACACCGCAATCCCTTCTCCTCCATTCTCCTCTCGGGATCTTGGGCATGTACGCTCACGCTCCCGGCGTGAGTTTAAGCCACCGGGTCCGGGACTCGAACTGCGGTTGAGTATGTGGGAGTCCAGTGACGTAGCCATTGTGCTATCTACTGGTCCCCACACTACGTTCTATTACAGGTACTTCTCACTCTTTTTTTTCCTATTGAATTATTATTATTATTTAGGTGTCTGCCATAGGGCGTGTGTGCTTGTCAGAGAGAGAGAAAGCGAGACAAAGAGAGAGAGAAGAGAAATCACCCTCAGAAAGGGCGGCCGCATCGCAATCCCTTCAACTCCATTCTCCTCTTGGGATTTTTGACACACACATACACACATGCCTGGCATGATTTTCAAACTGCTGCATCTGGGACTTGAACTGCGCCTGGGATCAGTCAGGGGGGAGCCTGGGGCCTTAACCCCCAGGCCACTTGCTGGCCCTGCCATACGATTTTTTTTTTTAAAGAATTATTTTATGTAAGTTTACTTACTATGATTAATTTGACCTGAGAGAGAGAGGGAAAGTGAGAAAGGAATCCATCAAGTCCAGGACTTGAACTGTGGTTGGCCATGTGGGAGTCCAGTGCCAAACCACAATGCCACCTGCTGGGTCCTCTATACTATTTATTTATTTACTTATTTCTAGAGAGATTTTTGCAATAGGATGCATGTGCTTGCTGGAGAGACAGATAGAAAGTGAGAAATCACCCCCTGGGGAGATGGCCACGCTGCAATCCCTTCTCCTCCATTCTCCTCTCGGGATCTTGGGCACACACGCACATGTGCCCGGTGTGAGTTTCAAGCTGCCAGGTCCAGAACTTGAACCATGATCAGCCATGTGGGAGTCCAGTGCTTTAATCACCTTGCCACCTCACTGACCCCTTCATACTGCTTTTTATTACTATAGGCACTTCTCATCTTTTGTTTCCTAATGAATTATTTTTTTAAAACTCTTTTTGCAGGGCCTTACTGGAAGGAGAAAGTAACCCAGAGATTCTGATCTGGACAAAGCACATTGAAACCATGCCACAAGGTAAATATAAGAAAAGCTCAGTACGTAGCTTGATTGATTGATTGATTGGAGAGGTTTTTTTCCTATAGGGTGTGTACACTCGCCAGAGAGACAGAGACAGACAGAGAGATAGAAAGCGAGAAATCACCCCCCAGGGAGGATGGCCACGCTGAATCCCTTCTCCTCCATTCTCCTCTTGGAATCTTGGGCACGCACACACACGTGCCTGGCATGAGTTTAAACCACCAGGTCCGGGACTCGAACCGTGGTCGACTACATGGGAGTCCAGCAATATAGCCGTTATGCCATCTGCCGATCCCTCATTACCTAACTTTAAACCACTTTCTATACGAATTGTTCATCCCATGGATAGTGCCATTTACCTAGAAGAATAGGGATTAGATATGGTTTTTCAGATAACGATAGTTCATGTCTCTTGTACCGAATCTATTTGAGTTGAATGGGGGGCATAATTTATTAATAGATAATGTAAAAGAATGTTGTTCATCTAGCCACCATTTGGGGGTGCTTCCTAGTGATGTGGTGAAGGAGCAGGGAGCAGATGGAGGACCGTGTGAAGGTGAGGACAGTGATACCTGCCCTTCACACCCTGGGGACAGGTGCTTTCTCACTTTGCCTCTCTCTCTCTGTCTCTCTTTGGTCAACTTAAAAAAAAAAAAGACAGTGAATAAAATTAAATAAAAATAATTAAAAAAAAAAAGCTTTGGAAAAAAGATTATTATTAGACTTTTAGCTTCTCGATCGTTGTCTTGCATAGTACAGTATAGACACCCATTAATTATTTATTGAATAAATATAGGGATCAATTTCTAAATAGTGATTTATCAATATGTATTTGCGTGTTTATGTGTCTTTTGTAATATTGCATAAAATAACATTGGCCACTTGCCTACAAGATGATAAGCCTGAACCACTCTCTGACCTTCCATTATTTCTGTCTGGACCTATTTATTTATTTATAAGTTTTTAAAAGGTTTTTGTTTTAGGGCATGTGTACTCCCCAGAGAGACACGAGAGAGAAAGACAGAGAGACAGAAAGCAAGAAGTCACCCCCCAGGGGTATGGCCACACCGCAATCCCTTCTCCTCCATTCTCCTCCCGGGATCTTAGGCATGCACACACACATGCCTGGTGTGAGTTTTAAGCTACTGGGTCCAGGACTTGAACTGCGGTCGGCCATGTGGTAGTCTGGCAATCTTACCACTATGCCATCTGCTGGCCCCTGTCTGTACCTATTTTAAAACCAGGTGTTTCTAGCACTGTTTCATCTTCAAGGACTTCTCAGTTTAGAATCAATGTGTTTAGCTGAAGAGAAGAGTCTTGGTGGCCTGGTCTCTGTCCTGTATCTTGGGATCTATTGAAGGAGGCCTCTACCCTTGGCTGTCCTGAGGGAGACTAGCAGAGAGAAGCCCCTATCCCAGGTCACCCGGATGGCACACGCTAGGGGGTGCTCTCAGGGTGGCTGGTGCTTGTTCTTTTCTTAGAATTATTTTATTTAACTTTATTTATTTATTTTTGCTTTGGCCATAGAAGACAGAGAGAGAGGGAGAGTGGGAAAGCAAGCCACCAGGTCTGGGACTTAAACTGTGGTTGGCCATGTGAGAATCCAGTGCCCCCAACCACCACCCCACCTGCTGGACCTGCTTCCAGTGTGTTCTAACCACTGGCTGCCATCCCTATGAGCAGGTTACCCTGGTGGAGGTTGGCTTGGCTACCCAAGAACTCTCTATGTATGGTTCACATCAAACCTGGAATCCCCAAGGGTATATCCCAGCTCTAGGATCATGACAAGATAAACAGGTGACAATCTTGGCAACAGGCTGCTTTTTTTTCACTGGGACATGTAAAAATAGAAGAGATCAGAAAGCTTAAAAAGTTAAATTTGTCCAGCCGAGTGGTATGTTGGTTAAGGTGGTTGGATCCCACATGGCCAAATGTGCAGTTCGAGTCCTGGACCCGGCAGCTTAAAAACAAAACTCACACCAGATGTATATGTGTGCATGCCCAAATCCCAAGAGGAGAATGGAGGAGAAGGGATTGTGGTGTGGCCATTCTCCCGGGGAGTGATTTCTCACTTTCCCTCTCTGGTAAGTCAAGCACACTATAACAAAAAAAAAAAAAAGAAAAAGAAAAAGAAAAAAAAGAAAAAAGAAAAAAGAAAAAAAGAGGGTAAATTCTTCAGTACTTGTTGACCCCAAATGGATATCAGTGAAAAAATGAAAGTATACGCGATGGTAAATGGAGAATGCTACTTGATTTATAGTAATTATAGACTTTGTAATTACAGAGCTCTTCTCTGCTGAAATAAGTGAAATACACTTATCTCACCGAAGTAGACATGAATGGCTCCAAAATATCATAATATTGTGGAATTCCAGCCACAACACCTAGCACCTCTGACCTCTCAGACTCATACTCCGTGACTTATAATCACGTTTGATATTTTTGTTAAAACGAGTGAATATTTTACGATCAGTCACTGGAGAAAAGTGTTCAATGACATATGTGTAGTGCTGGCTTTTATTGTCACTGGCTTTCTTCTTTTTTTTTTTTTTTAGAATTACTTATTTAATTTTACTTATTATTATTGTTATTATTATTATTTTTAATTTGCTACAGGCAGGTGCACTCATCAGAGAGACAGAGAGGGAAAGTGAGAGAGCAAGCCATCAGGCCCAGGACTCGAACCTCTGTCAGCCATGTGGGAATCCAGTGCCTTAACCACCACACCACCTGCTGGCCCAATCACTGTATTTTTAAAAATAATTATTTATTTTTAATTTTATTTATTCAGTCATTTATTTTAATTTGACCAGAGAGAGACAAAGAAAGAGAAGGAGAGAGAGAGAGTGAGAAAGCAAGCCACCAGGTCTGGGACTTGAACCGTGGTCAGCCATATGGGAGTGTACAGTGCCTTAACCACCATGCCACCTGCTGGTCCCCCCCCAGTCACTGTATTTTTTTAAGCTACCAAAAAATAATTTGGGGACTGAAAATAGTTCATGTGTCATGAGCTTGATGTGGTAATTGTATATATGTGTGATGATGGGGTGGAATTTGACCTGTGACAATGCTTTTAAGGTATATGTATATAATGGGGACCAGCAGTTAGCGTAATGGCTATGTCGCTGGACTCCCATGTAGTCGATCGCGGTTCGTGTCCCGGACCTGGTGGCTTAAACTCACGCCGGGCACGTGTGCATGCGTGCCCAAGATCCCGAGAGGAGAATGGAGGAGAAGGGATTGCGGCGTGACCATCCCCCCTGGGGGGTGATTTCTCGCTTTCTGTCTCTATGTCTCTGTCTGTCAGGCGAGCGCACGCACCCTATAGTGAAAATCTCTCAAAAAAATATATATATAAAAAGGTAATCATATCTATCATTTAATGATGTCTTTGTTCTATTTCTACAGAATTCAGAAACACATCCTATTGCTACAGTGACTCTGTGCTACAGAGGGAAAACGAGAGAAATCGCTTCCCCCGGCAGAAAGTGCCCCTGGCGAATTTAAATCACGGCTCGGCACTTCATTCTAACCTGTCAGGGCACTTGGGGTCGCAAACAACCACATCGATGGAAAGTGCCGGAAGGAGAGGGTTCCCGGGCTCAAGCCCTTCCTCTGTGTCTACTACCTGGCAAGAGAACTCTTACGAAAAAACCATCAGCAGTCAAACCAATTCCAGAACTTTCTCTCCAACCTATGGTCTCTCAAGAAATACTGATGTGTCAGTGAAGACATTCCCCGACAGATCAAAGACGGAAGGGAGGAGGGATGTCTCCACGGTTGTCCAAGAATCCCACCGAGAACGCCGAGACAGGGCCGTGGCAGGTGCTTCTGAAAGCACGCGCTCAAAGGAGAGGACTGTCATTTTGGAAAAGAAAACAGAAGTGGATGTCACGAGGGAGCGAGAAAGAAATAGGCCGGGAGCCATCAGAAAAAAACAAGAAGAGATGCTGTTTGATTCTAAAGAGAAGGCTTCAGAAGAAAGAAACTTACGATGGGAAGAGCTGACCAAGTTAGATAAGGAGGCGAGGAAGAGGGAAATGCAGCAAATGAACGAGAAAGCCAAAGGGAAGGACGCACTGAAGGAGAGACACGTGAAGGGAAGGGACATTCCAATTCATCTGGAAGGACCCCAGGCCCGCAGGCCTGCAGAGGTGACCCCCAAAGGTTTGCAGATGCCTGTAAAGAAGGATGCTGATGATGGCTCGGGGAGACAGAAGGAAACGAGAGAGGCAAGATTTAAGCTGAGCCCCAGTGACCCCGCTGACTCTCTGGAGGGTGACTCGACGACAGAAACCGTAGCAGAAAACATCGTCACCAGCATCCTCAAACAGTTCACCCAGACTTCCAACACCGAGGCAACTGCTAACTCTTTTCCAGACACAAAAGTCATTTATGTGGAGAAGAAAGAACTTCCGGGGGATAAGAAAACTAAGACCGAGATTGTCCTGGAATCTAAACTGACGGAAGACGTTGATATTTCAGATCAAGCCGGTCTGGACTACCTCTTGAGCAAAGAAGCCAAGGAAGTAGGGCTGAAAGGGAAGTCGACTGAGCAGATGATCGGAGACATCATCAACCTTGGTCTGAAAGGCAGAGACGGTCGGGCCAGGGTTGTCAACGTGGAGATCGTAGAGGAGCCCATGAGCTATGTCGGGGGCGAGAAGGCAGGGGAGTTCTCCACCCCCTTCGAAGTGGAGGAGGTCGATGACGTATCTCCGGACCCCAAGAGGTTTACTGAGGAAGAGGGGAGTTATGGAGAAACCGATGGAACATTCTTGGGTCATCCACGCCATCGGACCAGGCAAGAGAATGTCACTCACTTTGAAGAGGTGATGGAAGCAGGTGACTCGGAGGGAGAACAGAGTTATTTTGTGTCAACTCCAGAGGAGCACCCCGGGGGGCCTGACAGGGACGATGACGAGGGCTCGGTGTATGGGCAGATCCACATCGAAGAAGAATCCACCATCAGGTATTCTTGGCAAGATGAGATCGTGCAGGGCAGTTGGAGACGAAGGAAGCAGGGTGACCACGAGGGAGAGATTATGAATGTTCCGGAAGCTTCTCCGGCAGACGCCGAAAGAACTCATTGGACAGAACAGTCTAGAAGTGGCGAATTTCATGCCGAACCCACAATTACTGAAAAAGAGATCAAAATACCCCATGAGTTCCATGCCTCCATTAAGGGGGTCTCGTCCAAGGAGCCCCGGCACCAGCTGGTGGAGGTCATTGGGCAGCTGGAGCAAACCCTACCAGAGCGCGTGAAGGAGGAGCTGTCTGCCCTCACCAGGGAGGAGGACAGCGAGCTGGGGGGTGTGTCGGTTGATGTCAAGAAAGTCCAGACCCCTGGCAGTGGTTCCGTGACCTTGGTGGCCGAAGTCAACCTGTCACAGACGGTGGATGCCGATCAGCTGGATGTGGAGCAGTTGAGCAGGGATGAGGCCAGCGAGATAGAGAAAACCGTGGAGTCCGTGGTACGAGACAATGTGACCAGGCGACAGGGTCAAGCACCCGGAAGCCCAGACAGGGATGAGAGAATGGAGTCCCCAGTTTCTGGCCTTGGCTTCAAGCGCTGGGCCACCAGGGAACTGTACAGCCCTTCTGGTGAGAGGGAAGATGGCGGCCGGGCCTCTTACAGCATGGAACAGCTCAGCCCCCAGGGCCCCGTGTCGGCCACCGTGGAAGTCAGCAGCCCCCAGGGCTTTGCCCAGTCTGTGAGGCACGTGCAGCTTGGTCCCACTGCATTCTGGAAGACTGAGCAGGTCTCCTATGAAGGACCCACGGTGCAGGTGGCGCAGGTAAGTGGGGAAGATGTCCCGAGTCAGGCAGCCATCTTGGTAGGAACCAGCCTGTCTCTGAGGCCCTTGATGTTGGGTCTTGAGCCAAGCCAAGTGTCCAGAGAAGTCTTCCTCCAAGGCCCCATCCCTTTCCTTCAGGAAGTGGGGAGCGCAGAAGAACTGGAGGCCCCAGACCTTTCCACAGATGCCAACCTGTCTGGGAAGCAGGGCTCGTTTGGCTTCCAACAAGTTCGTGTTGAAAAGGCAGCCATTGTTCAGGGGTCCACCTCTGGGGCAGGGAAGGTGGGTGATGAGTCAGCGAGTACCCAGACTTCCGTGAGTCACCTTCAGGTAGGCCCTAAACACGGGTTCAGCGAACCAATCCAGCTCACAGTCCCCCTTTCAGACAGAACGGGGCTGGGCATCAAAACAGGTTCTGTAAACACTGAAGGTTCGTCTGGGATCCACACGTCTGTCAGCCACATCAGCATCACACCTCGGGGGCATCAGGGCGCCGAGTGGGTGGTTGACCCCGGGCTGGTTCCTCACCCTGTGGAATTCAGAGACCCAGATAGTGCCATCCCCCTACAGAGCTCAGCTGCCGTAACCCAAGTCACCACTACCCATACCTTGGGGAGTAAAACCTTCATGACCGAAAAGAGCACCTTCCAAAGGGTGGCTTTGGAATCTCCCAGGGAGGATGGTTCAGGGGACACATCCGGGGCAGACGTGACATCGGGCGTCAGCAGATCCTTTAGACACATTCAGTTAGGTCCTACAGACACCGACACCTCTGAACACATTGTCATCCGTGCACCCGCGTCCGTGACACGTGGGCTGGCTGGTTCGGCACGCCTCCCCGAGCGAGGTGACCCTGCAGATGGCAGCAGAACACTGAGGCTCATTGACCTGGGGCCCAAAGAAACTTCATTTACCTTTCAGATGGACGTGAGTAACGTAGAGGCCACCCCGCGCTGGACACCAGGGGCGGGGACAGAAGGGGAAGCTCCCAGTGCATCTGGCTGGGGTGCCTGGAGAGACGCTGGCAGTACGTGTGACCCAGCCTCCGGCACAAGCTTTCAGGCGGCTGCTGGGGACAGACACCAGGCCCAGGGAGAGCAACACACGGAAGAGGCCACGTTTGACAAGACGGTGCAGCTGCAGAGAATGGTAGACCAGAGGTCTGTGATCTCGGATGACAAGAAAGTTGCACTGCTTTATCTAGACAAGGAGGAGGAGGAGGACGATGGGCATTGGTTTTGATAAAACGGAAATATTTTCTTTTAAACAGCATCTTTTTTTGGTAACCTACCACCAGTCAGAGGCCTTTACTTATTTTAAGAGGCAAGGGGAGGCTTGCTATAAAAACTTCCCATATTGTACTTGCTTTCAAGACTACTCCAGGCGAAGACTAGCCGGTGGCATGGCGGTTAAAGCACTGGATCCCACATGGCCGACTGCGCCGTTCGAACCTCGGACCCAGTGGCTTCAAAAACATGCCGGGCACAAGTACACGCATGCCTAAACTTCCGAGAGGAGAATAGAGGAGAAGAGATTACAGTGTGGCCATCCTCCCTGGGGAGTGATTTTCTTTCTCTCTTTCTCTGTCTCTCTCTCTGGGAAGTACACATGCCCTCTAGTCAAAAAAAAAAAAAAATTCCAAAATAATTTGTGCCTTAAGAAGTGTTGGGATTTTAATTTTTTCAGTTGGGACTTGTACAAAACACTTTTGATCTTTTTTGTCTGACAAAGTCCCTTTTTCTGGAGTTTTCTACCAGCTTCGCACCTGGTCACAGACATGGCCCGCAGCTGTTCGAAGCTCCGATTAATCATCTAGAAGGCAAGATGTCTAAATATTAACCAGATTAAAGTAATATATTTCGAAATACATGTTATTCGCCTGTGCTAATATGAAGTAATCAACTAACAGTCGAAGGGGGAAATAAATACATGTTTCTCTTTCCAACATCTTTTCTAAAAGAAATCATACGGAAAAAGTTGGCTATGGCTTTAAAAATCCGCAGAATGGCTTTGTCTTTAGGAAGAACTTATAGTTATAGTCCTTTTTAGACTTGAATAAATTGCTTCCTACATGCAGAGGTTAAAAAAAAAAAAAAAAAAGAGTATTTTGGGGGCCAGCAGGGAGCATCGTGGGCATGGCGCTGGATTCCCACATGGCCAACTGTGGTTTGGGTCCTAGACCTGGCAGTTTGAAAATCACACTGGGTGCATGTGTGTGCGTGCCCCAAATCCCGGGAGAAATGGAAGAGAAGGGATTGGGGTGTAGCCATCCCCCCTGGGGGGGGTCATTTCTCACTTTCCTTCTTACTGTCCTTCTCTGATAAGTGTGTGTGCTGTATGGCCCTTAAAATATTTTTTTTAATTTAAAAATAGAGTATTTTATTCATGGAGAGGATAGCTATAGTCTATTGCAATATTTCAGATCAATATATCTGCTGTTTGCACAGGTTCCCCTGCCTGGGACCCATGGGTAGAGGAAATAATTATTGGGAATTATAGGCAAGACCTTTTTTTTTTGCAGTACTCTTAGGTTGTTAAGTAGCTCACAATGTGCACAGTTTTTTTGTGATAACTTCTGGAGTCACCAGCTCTCACCAGAACACACACACACACACCCCTGAGCTGCTCTGTCCCTCACCCCTGAGCACCATAACTCGCATTTCCCTGGTGGAAGGTAGACCCTGAAGACAATGAAGAGAACAGCGGTGTTCTAACTGCAGTTGGGCTGGCCGGTGGGTCGTGTCTTGGGAGACTGGACTGGGCTTTCCCAAAGAAGCCATTCTCAAGCCCCTACCCGTGGGGGGAGAGGTCTTTCTGAGCTCAGAGTGGAAGATGGAAAAGTGACCATTGTAAACCAACGGGAGGCGTTACAGTCGGGGGTGTTTTGTTCAGGGAAACAAAAGCAAATGTTGACAAGTCTAAGATGGGCCAGCAGGTGGCACGGTGGACAAAGCAGCTGGATCCCACATGACCGATTGCGCTGTTCAAGTCCTGGCCCCTGCAGCTTGGAAAACCAGCTGAGTGCATGTGCGCGCATGCCCAAAATCCTGCAAAGAAAAATGGAGAAGGGATTGTGGTGTGGCCATCCCCTGGGGGTGTGCTCTCTCTTTCTCTCCAGCAAGCATATGGGCTTTAGAGTAAGTTAAAAGAGAGAATACGAGGTTCTGGGGGAAGGCATGGGGTATCTCTCCCTTCACCCAGGATGGGCCCTGGAGGGTGACAAAGGTCTCCACGCTCACAGGCCACGGAATGTGGAGCTGCAGGTGTACACCACTGAGTTGAAGACGTGAGGGTGCGTGTGTTCTGTTAGGTTCAATCTTCCATCTTTACAAGCTCAGCACCCTATAGAAATAGTATTTCCAGCAGCAGAGTTATTATTTTAGACCAGACTAGCTTCTCTCACACGACGGCGTCCACGTGATGTTTCGTATGACACAGTGTCATACAGGTGACTGTCACGCACTGAGGATTCATGATCTGAGGACAAAGTGGGGGTGCGGCACTGAGCCGGGAGGGTGGGGGTTGCACTGTGCACATCTCCTCGGGTCCCCAGAATGGTTCCATCAGGTACTTTAGGGAGAGCGTTATCAGTAAGCGGAAGATTCACGCAGCTGTGTTCCAAACCATCTATTTTTTAAAACATTATCAATTTGGGTATGAAAAGACAGGAATTTTGCCTGGCAAGTTGAACCTCGTTTTCCACCTGGCCGATGAACTAGTGATTGTCCTACTGTAGGAGGGGTGACTGCTTCTTGAAGACGTGTCATTATCATACAGACAAGAGATGCATTGATTTTTTTTTTTTAAAGCTGTCATGGGTAGTAGAATTTGTGTAAGCGATTCATTGATGAGAATTTGGTCGAGGGGCACAGCCTTCTGGCCAGACAAACTGATCATGAGGGACCTATGGTGGGGGGGAGGTCTCTGTGGGCATAGTTCAATGTCACTCACTATGCTAGTCCGTGGCCTGGTAAGTGGATGCTGAATGAAGATGTCATTAACATCATAACCCACTGCTAAAAGGAAATAAATAATAAGTCATCAAAAATAAAGTTCAATAAAGACATGGTAACCCACTTCTGTTTTACTGTGGAAAACGTTTCCTAGATCATAATTTGCATCTTAGATCTTAGTTTGCATCTTAGATCTTAATTTGCATCTCTTCGTTGGAATGCTTATCTTCACAGAGTTGGAAACTGGTACTGAGTTCCAGGTGGCCAGGAGCAGGATGGGACTTGGACATTACCACAGGGTCACCCTGTAGCTACAAGTGCTTTCAAAGCAGTCCCTCTGGAGACAGGAGAGGTCAACTCTGTGGTTGGATGGGTGGGCACACAGCCGATGTCTTCCTGTTTGTTCTGTGTAGACAAAACAACCTTCATCCGCCCTGTTTCAACTTCCACTGGTGGTTTGGATACTAGGGAAGATGTCTGTTTAGACTGGAGTCATCAGAGAAGCCGATTTTGTTCACCTCCTGTTCCCTACAAAGGGAAATGTCACAAAAATGTATAAAAATAAAAACCGGAGTAAAAAACTTGCATTGTTTCTAAAGAGAATGAATGTTTTCTGGGAGATGTTGGTGTGGTTTCCTGTTCCGCCCTAATGAAAGCGTCTCTGTGTTTCCATACACGTTGTTATGGTAGCATTGAATTTCTGGGGACAATCTATGTGAACAGTTCCAGTTCTTGGCTGGCTCCATGGCCTGGTGGTTAGGGCAGTCAGATTCCCACATAGCCAACTACGTGGTTTGAGTCCTGAACCTGGTGACTTGAGAAATATGCCGGGCACACGTGTTGATATGCCCAAGATCATGAAAGGAGAGAGAAGTGGAGATGGGACTCTGATGTGTTCATGTCCCATTGGGGGTGCTCCCTCCCTCTCCCTCGGTGTCTCTCTCTGGTGAGTGGATGTGCTGTCTTGTAATAAATAAATAAATAATGATATCTCAGTTCTCTAATTCCTCATTTGAATCGGAATAATACAGAACGATCAATAGAAAACATGGGTGGGAGGACCAGCAGATGGCGTGGTGGTGAAGGCGCTGGACTCCCATACGGATCAGGTCCTAGACCTCACAGATTGCTTTCTCTCTTTCTCTCACCATATAGCAAATTAAAGAAAGAATAATGGGGGTGGGCAGGTGGCAAGGTGGTTAAGGGCGCTGGACTCCCACATGGCCGACCACGGTTCAAGTCCCAGATCTGGCAGCTTACTTTCTCTCTCTTGCTCTTACTCTGCCCCTCTCTGGTCAAATTAAATAAAATAAAGAAAGAAACAAAGTTATATAAAATAGTTCTTAAAAAAAGGAAAAATGATGATAAATAATATAAAATTATTATTGTTTTAATAGAAAGCTGTCCCAACTCGTGGGTCAGTCGAACAGGTTTCCTGAGGGAAGGAGTGAGAGACGGGAGGAACCGCGCAATGTTACAACACGGGGACGACACGGTGTTACAACTCTTCAGGGTCCTCCGTTTATTGTGGGCCAGGGATCGTGGTTATATATATACATGCTGGTGGAATGAAGGATTGTAAAAGTGGGTTATGATTGGTTGCTTTTGTGGACCAATCATGAGGTGCCGGATATGCAAATCTGAGGGATTCTAAGCTCACCGATTTGCCATGGGAAATGGCCAATCAGAGCATGGTTCTGAAGGTGAGGCCTTGAAGGGGAGCCAATTGTGGCCTTTATGGGAAGTGGCCAATCAGAGTATGGGTTTGAAGGTGAGGTTTTGAAGGGGAGCCAATCACGGCCTTTGGCATTGTGTAATTATTTGCTCTCTGAGAAACGGGCGATATTCGCTGGTGCGCAGCATCCCACAGAGGAGAATGGAGGAGAAGGGATTGCAGTGTGGCCATCCCCCCTGAGGGGTGATTTCTCACTTCCTGTCTCTCTGTCTCTCTCCACTGAGCCCATGCACCTACAGCAAACAAAATAGCACACATACTCATCCCAGCAGCTTCCCTTTATTCGCATTTTACTCTCATTTCTGTCTTGATCCCTGGGACCGTTCTACGAGGGGCCTTGTTCTAGAATTGTATCCAAATCCGACTCCAGACCTGGGCCATCAGATGCTGCATAGGAAGTTGTGAAATTTTGATGAAGAATCTTTCAGCCATGGTAGCGCTGAAAAATATCCTAACTGGCAAGAAAAACCACCCAGGTGATTATAAAAAAAAGAAGAGCAATGCTTTATGGAAGTGCCAGGCCGTCGGGAAGGGCACCCACTGGCCGGACGTGGTCCACGGGAGGTTTATGGAATCGCGGGAGGCTCATCTTCTAGCTGGAGAGAGATCGGTACGAACCCTAGGTGGCCGTGCCTAGGCATGCCGGACGCTTGTTTTGGGGTCAGGGGTTTCTGTCCTCTGCGTTGAGCCTGGCCTTGCCGACAGCATTTGGCTTTCAGTGACATTTGGCTTTTGGAGCCTGCTTCAGCTTCACGGCAACCTCCGGGGCCCTGCGAACAAGCAGAGGGTGGGGTGAGGGTGGTGTTCTCAGCCCTCCAGACGGTCTGCACCCCGGCTTTGGAGCTGGCGGCAGAGCAAGCCCAGCGGTTGGTGAGACACGCTTCACGAGAGGCCTCAGGAAGGGAAAGGGGGGAAACCGTGACATGAGAACAAACAACCCAAGAAGTGCCCCCCTGCCTTTTTCTTTTTTTAGAGATTTTTGTTATAGAGTGTGTGCACTCGCCGGAGAGACAGAGACAGAGAGACAGAACTCGCACTCCTCCCTAGGAGGGGTGGGCACGCCACAATCTCTCTTCCTCTCTCCTCTCAGGATTTCAGACAGGCACGCAAACCCACCAGGCATGATTGTAAAGCTTCCGGGTCTAGGACTTGAACCACAGTTGACTACGTCAGATCCAGTGCCTTAACCTCTACATCAACTGCTGCCCCTCCCCCATAGGAAAGAAAGGTATTTTATAACTGGGTTTTCTTTTTCTTTCTTTTTTTTTTTTAATTTTTGGAGAATTACTTTATTTATTTATTGAGAGAGTTTTTTGCTATAGGGCACATGCGCTCGCCAAAGAGAGACAGAGAGACAGAAAGCGAGAAATCACCCCCCAGGGGGGATGGCCACGCCACAATCCCTTCTCCTCCATTCTCCTCTTGGGATCTTGGGCACACACGCACACGTGCCCGGCGTGAGTTTAAGCCACCAGGTCTGGGACTCGAACCGTGGTTGACTACATGGGAGTTCAGCGACATAGCCGTTACACCAACTGGTGGTTCCTTATTTATTTTATCTTAATTTGACCAGAGAGGAATGGCATGAGAGAGAGAGGGAGAGAGAAAGCGAAAAAGCAAGCCGCCAGGTCTGAGACTCGAACCACGGTTGGCCACGTGAGCGTCCAGCACCCTTAACTACCACACCACCTGCCGGCTCCACGGGGTGGGGGTTTCCAAAGGGATGTTCTAACTTTGCAGGTTACGGAAAGTCAGTTAAAAAGATTTCCACGGAAAGTTCCACAGGACCCGAGAGAATCAGCTTTGTCTCGAGATTCCGAATGGCACAGGAGGGGACACTCAGAAAGGGACAGGGCGAGCCGACTCACTTGGCCAGGACGTCCAGGGTCTGCTGGGTGGCCAGGGTCCTCTTGTCCTGTGGTCCGTATAGAAGGGTCTGAATCTGGAGACACTGCAGAACGCCAAGTGGAATGGTGAGGTCATGGAAATGTCACCGAGGGCGTTTTGCAAGAAAATAAAGTCTCCCTTGAGGGAGAGAAAGAATACTTCATTCTTAGACCCATGCTGTGACGGAATTGTGACATTCTTGGGGTTTGTCCTAGGGACACTCTGACCTTGGGTTAAGACGTTCCAAGATCCAGGAAACAAACGTAAGTACGGTATTAGCGCTATTTCACTAAACTCTCCGTGCCTGTCTGTAAAAATGCATGCAAACGTTTATTTCTTTATTTCTTTTAAAATAAAGGCAGGAACACTGATACTAACCAGGGCATGGTCTCCAGTTTCTATTTAAAAAAAAAAAAAAGAATTACTTTATTTAACATTATTTATTTATTTTAATTTGAACACAGAGGGACACAGTGAGAGAGAGAGAGAAAGAGTAAGAAAGAAACTGGGAAACAATCCAAGTCCAGGACTCGAACCATAGTTAGCCATGTGGGAGTCCAGTGCCCTTAACCCCCATGCCACCTGCAGGTCCCATCCAGTTTCTATTTTTAAACGGCCCTTGCTACAACCCAGAAAGTTTTTTTTTTTTTAATTAAAAAAATTTTTTTTTCTAGAGGTTTTTGCCTTAGGGCACGTGCATTTGCCATATATATAGAGAGACAAAGATAGTGAGAGGCAAAGTGAGAAATTACCCCCCAGGGGGGGATGGCCATGCCACAATCCCTCCTCCTCCATTCTCTTCCCAGAATTTTCAAGCTACCGGGTCAATTTTCAAGCTACAGGGTCCAGGACTTGAACCCTGGTTGGCCATGTGGGAGGTCCAGTGACATAACTGCTACGCCATCTGCTGGCCCCAGTTTTCTTTCTTTTCTAATTTTTTTATTTTCAAACAAATGCTTTATTTTATATGGTCTTTATATAATCACTACTACATAGCAAATTCTTTTTCGGGGTGGTTTTTACTATACGGCACGTGCACTCGCCAGAAAGACAGAGAGAGACAGAGAGACAGAAAGCGAGAAATCACCCCCCAGGGGGATGGTCATGCCGCAATCCCTTCTCCTCCATTCTCCTCTCGGGATCTTGGCATGCATACACACATGCACCCAGCGTGTTTTAAGCCACCAGAACCGGGACTCGAACCACAGTCAACTATGTGGGAGTCCAGCGATGTAGCCATCACACCATCTGGGGGTAATTTCTCACTTTCCCTTTCTCTATCTCTCTCTCTGGCAAGTACATGTGCCCTATAGCAGAAACCAAACCCCAAAGAAAACAAAAAAGCAAAACAAAACCGTAGTAAAATAAAAAAAGCATGAGAATGATATCCAATTCAGGATGGCAGTTATCTGGAGGTGGGGAAGGTGCATAGAATTCAACTGTATGGGTCCTGTTTTATTTCTTAGGGTGAATAGTGGGTTCAAAGGTCTTTGTTTTCTGCATATCTGATTTCATTATATTATATACATTTTTTTGAGAGGTTTTTGCTATAGGGCACATGTGCTCACCAGAAAGACAGAGACAGACAGAGAGACAGAAAGTGAGAAATCACCCCCCAGGGGAGATGGCCACGCCACAATCCCTTCTCCTCCATTCTCCTCTCGGGATCTTGGGCACGCACGCACACATGCTTGGTGTGAGTTTAAGCCACCGGGTCTGGGACTCAAACCGTGGTCGACCACATGGGAGTCCAGCGACATAGCCATTATGCCAACTGCTGGTCCCCATAATATATTTTTAGAGAGTGAAATAATTTTTCTACATGGTATTGTAGAGTTTGATTTTAAAAAGTATGAGGGGCCAGCCCTGCAATCTACTGGCTAAAGAAACTCGATCCCACGTGTTTCAAATCCTGGCGTCCATGGCTTCAAAAACATGCTAGGCACGTGTGCCCCAAATCGCAACAGGATGGAGAAATGGAGAAGGGACTACGGTGCAATCATACACCATTAGGGGGTTCTCTCTATCTCTTTCTCTCTCTCTGTTGAGCACATGTGCCCTCTGGCAATTAAAAAAAAAAAAGTGATGGTTTGGTGACTTAGTACTGAAGACTGAATACATTCCGATCTGCAAACCATCTTTAGGTCTTTGAAAACGAAAATGCAAGCTGCAAGTATCCAGAATGCTCGGTCTTTATAAACTGTGGCAAAGATCAAAACTATATGAACATTTCCTTCAATCACAGAAACTCAGAATGTGGTTCTGGAATCTGAGACTGTGATCGTCTTTTGGAGGGAGGAAAGAAATAGCAGATGAGAATACATGATAGAGATTTTTAAATAATAGAAAATACGACTTCTTAGTTGAATTAGATAGTATCAAGAGGGAATAAACGCTACTATTTTATTAATTACTATTAATAATCATTATTACTAATTATTTATTTTAACGCTTAAATTAAAAAAAAATATTATTTAAAGAAAGCCACTCAAGTCCAGGACTCGAACTGCAGTCGGCCATGTGGGAGTCTGGCGCTTTAACCACCGTGCCACCTGCTGGCCCCAACGCCCACTTGTGTTAACTCACAGATTGACTGTTATGACTGTGGGATTTAGGAACCGTGAGAAAGATCTGTTGCTTTGAGGAGAGAGGGTGGGGGCAGGTGTTTGACACCCATGACACTTGAAAACAGCTGCTGGGAGCCTGGGCAAGTCTTCCTGTTAAGAAAGTAAACCTTACTGGAACCAGCAGTTAGCATAATGGCTATGTTGCTGGACTCCCATGTAGTCAACTGTGGTTCGAGTCCCGGACCCGGTGGCTTAAGCTCACGTCTGGCACATGTGCGTGCATGCCCAAGATCCTGAGAGGAGAATGGAGGAGAAGGGATTGCGGCGGCCATCCCCCCCCGGGCAAAACCCCCCCCAAAAAAAAAAAAAAAGAAAAGAAAAGAAAGGGAACGCAAACAAGAGAAGCCAGCATGCTTCCTCCTCTCTCATGCCTGCCTATCTCTCCGGGGATGAGGAGCCTCTCTCTCAAGAGCTAACCCTCGGCAGAACAAACTCCATTTTCTCCTCCACCGCCAGAAATACCCTGGCTAGGGGGAAAGATCAGGTCTAATTTTAAACCCACAGAACCTCCCTGTTGAGTATGGAGGACTGCCTCCACCCCGTTCATTATCAGACGGGCTGATGGGAACGGGCCTTGGTGCTCATTCATCGTGGCGTTAGAATTTGACTCACACTGAGGCCAGCAGTGGCGTGGTGGTTAAGGCACTGGACTCCCACTTGATTGACCCTGGTTCGAGTCCCAGAGTGGGTGGATGTACATGTGTTCCCAGAATCCCGAGAGGAGAATGGAGGAGGGACTGCGGCATGGCCATTTCTTCGCTCTGAGCACATATGCCCCTTTGTAAAAACCAAAAATAAAAATAAAACAAACAGGTCATAACAGCTGATGATAAGAGGCACATACATTAATAAATAAATAAGGACTGGGGCACTGAGGAAGAATAAAGGGGGTGCTGATGGGTAGCAGCGAGTCCCTGGGTCAGCAAAAGGGCTTCGTGAGGAGCTGACGCCGGAGATGAGACCTGAAGACGTGGACTTGGCCAGGTCAAGAGCGCCAGGTGTGGGGGACAGGGTAAGGGGCCCAGGGATTCCAGGTGTTGAGGGAACACCCTGCATCCCTCCCTCTGCCCCCACCTGCCCCTCTCTCTCTCGCACCCCTGCCTTCCTCCCTCTGCCCCCACCTGCCCCTCTCTCTCTCGCACCCCTGCCTTCCTCCCTCTGCCCCCACCTGCCCCTCTCTCTCTCGCACCCCTGCCTTCCTCCCTCTGCCCCCACCTGCCCCTCTCTCTCTCGCACCCCTGCCTTCCTCCCTCTGCCCCCACCTGCCCCTCTCTCTCTCGCACCCCTGCCTTCCTCCCTCTGCCCCCACCTGCCCCTCTCTCTCTCGCACCCCTGCCTTCCTCCCTCTGCCCCCACCTGCCCCTCTCTCTCTCGCACCCCTGCCTTCCTCCCTCTGCCCCCACCTGCCCCTCTCTCTCTCGCACCCCTGCCTTCCTCCCTCTGCCCCCACCTGCCCCTCTCTCTCTCGCACCCCTGCCTTCCTCCCTCTGCCCCCACCTGCCCCTCTCTCTCTCGCACCCCTGCCTTCCTCCCTCTGCCCCCACCTGCCCCTCTCTCTCTCGCACCCCTGCCTTCCTCCCTCTGCCCCCACCTGCCCCTCTCTCTCTCGCACCCCTGCCTTCCTCCCTCTGCCCCCACCTGCCCCTCTCTCTCTCGCACCCCTGCCTTCCTCCCTCTGCCCCCACCTGCCCCTCTCTCTCTCGCACCCCTGCCTTCCTCCCTCTGCCCCCACCTGCCCCTCTCTCTCTCGCACCCCTGCCTTCCTCCCTCTGCCCCCACCTGCCCCTCTCTCTCTCGCACCCCTGCCTTCCTCCCTCTGCCCCCACCTGCCCCTCTCTCTCTCGCACCCCTGCCTTCCTCCCTCTGCCCCCACCTGCCCCTCTCTCTCTCGCACCCCTGCCTTCCTCCCTCTGCCCCCACCTGCCCCTCTCTCTCTCGCACCCCTGCCTTCCTCCCTCTGCCCCCACCTGCCCCTCTCTCTCTCGCACCCCTGCCTTCCTCCCTCTGCCCCCACCTGCCCCTCTCTCTCACACACCCCTGCATCCCTCCCTCTGCCCCCTCTCTCTCACTCTCTCTTGCATCCCTCCCTCTGCCCCCATTTGCCCCCCCACACACCCCTGCATCCCTCCCTCTGCCCCATCTGCCCCTTTCTCACCCACCCCTGCATCCCTCCCTCAGCCCCCATCTGCCCCTCACACACACCTCTGTATCCCTCCCTCTGCCCCCATCTGCCCCCCACACCCCTGCAGTCCCCTAACATGGTGGGCCTCTAGTCCCAAGACCCCATGTGGATGAGTGGGGACCCTCCCATGAGAGAAATGTGGGTGGGGTTGGAGGAGGGACCCGAGGCCCAGGAGCACAATGGGAGACCATGGAGGGAGGGAGGCCCAGGACGGCCACCCACACTAATGTTTGGGGTGAGTCCTTTGGGAAGTTGTCCCCGAGTCTCTCCCGGGGCCAGGGCTTGGGTGTGGGCGTGGGTGTGGCCCTGGCTGTCTCCCTCGCTCCTCACCTCCGGGTGGCCGGGTGCCGGCTCTACATCCTGATCGACATCCCTTGACTCCCTCCTGCCTTTGCTCCAGCCCCTGGCCACTGTCTTGGAACAAGCTACCATCACCGTCCTCCAGGACAGCTGCAACACAGATTCAGTGCGTGGTGCGTCAGCCGGGCCTGCCGCAGAGGAGTCCGGCTGTGAGCCGCCGGGAACCTGGGGACTGATGGCATAATGGTTCTATCGCTGGACTCCCATGTAGTCGACTGCGGTTCGCGTCCCGGACCTGGTGGCTTAAACTCACATGGGCACATGTGCACGCGTGCCCAAGATTCCGAGAGGAGAATGGAGGAGAAAGGATTGTGGCGTGGCCATCCACCCTGGGGGGTGATTTCTCGCTTTCTGTCTCTCT